CACATATCATAAAAATCTTGAGAGAGAGAGAGAGAGAGAGAGGAGAGAGAGAGAGAGAGGAGGAGAGAGAGGAGAGAGAGAGAGAGAGAGAGAGAGAGAGAGAGAAAGAGAGAGATGTGATGCCAAATTATAAATCTTATGGAAAAGCATGACCTGTATAGCTCATCATAACATGAGTTTGGAGCAGGATGAGCATCTTGTCACAACTAGTGCAACATTGTGACAAAGTTACAAAGACCTGGAAGTATCCCACAGTGCAGAGGTGGTCCACACAGCCTTCTCTAAGGTGTTTTACAAATATAACCATGGGTTGATTTCACATAAAATAAGGTCAATAGATAACAGGAAAAGTAGGCAAAAGTATACTGAGTTTACTAGCGCCTGTACTGTTTCTCCTCACAGTAGACACAGGTAAACACGCAAACCAGCTTCGTGACAGCCTTTGCTGAAGATACAAAAGTTAACATGTAAGTTGTCTCAGTAAAAGACATCGTAACATTGGTAGAGGATGTAAACAAAGTCTTCCAGTGGGGGGTATAAAATATATGTTCAGTGGGGACAAATTCTAGTAGCTGAGATACGAATAGAATGAAGAACTTAAATGGGGCAGTGTATGTAAAGCAAAAGAGGATCCGCCTATAGAACGAAGAGTGCTTGTGAAAGACGTTTGTATAACAGTGTCAGTTGACTTGTCGTTTAAAGAACAATAAAGCAAAAGCCAAGAAAATAACAGGGTTAATAATGAGAACTTTCATAACAGGTGAAATGCTGTAATTCCAATGGTGACACTAATTATTTTACTTGTGTTCAGTCGCTGAAAGTAGTGTTCAGTGTTAATAGTTATATTTAAGGCAAGAGAAATAGCAGAGTTGGAAAATACAGAGTTTATTGCCTGGCAACACCTCCAAGAACGGGTGATATACTCCTCTTAGAGAAGGCGAGAGAGATAGTGAAAATATGCATATGGAAGACACTGGAGGCCGTAGTAGCAAGCCTACACACTACCACAGCAAAGTATTAGAGTCAAAGATATACAGGAAGTGTTAAATAGACCCAGTGAAAAGCTGGGACACCACAAGCACAGTAAGAGAACATTGAGTATGCAAGGCCCAAGACTGTTCATCTTAACTATTAGTAGATATAAAAAAATACCGTTGGAATGTGTGCGTGTGGAAGTATTCAAAAGCAAACTGGATTATTACTTGCCCGGTGTAGCAGATCAACCAGACTGTGGTGGATACGATGGTCCTGCGGGTCGCCAACAGCAACAGTCTGGTTAACCAGGCGATCAACAAGACAGGCCTGGCCCCAAAACTCTTGAAACAAGTCACGGGAAAAATCACTTCACGTTTCAATACAATTACCATTTCTGGACAGCAATTCACCAGAGCCACTGAGAATCTTATTATTAATGATGAACGATCTGTGAAGCACTTACATCAATCTGTGAAGCACTTACATCAAATTTTCAGCAAGTGTGGCAGCATTTCTGTGTTGTAATACTTATGTTGTTGCAATAATTCTCCAGTGAGAGACACTAGTGCCACAACAACCACTGAGAGGGCTGGCTGACTGGCTGGCTTGTTGGCTGGCTGGCTGGCTGGCTGGCTGGCTGGTTGGTTGGTTGGCTGGCTGGCTGGCTGGCTGGCTGGCTGGCTGGTTGGTTGGTTGGCTGGCTGGCTGGCTGGCTGGCTAACTAGCTAGCTAGCTAGCTAGTAATGAATTACTGAGAAGGTTGGCAACAGGTACTGGGGGGGGGGTTGAGGAGAGAGCAGGTTGGCACTGTAGTGGGGAGGATGGTGGAAAATGTAGTGTGGTGTTAGTGTTCAGAGCTTCAGTTCCACCACCAACACACACATTACAACTACTAGTTCCACCACCACCACCACCACCACTACCACTACCACCCACCTCAGCCCCTAATTACTGGTTTGCAGGACAGGCACATGGCCAACACGCACCCTAAGTCCTTGCAATAACACTCATGCACTCTCAGTGTAACTACCTCCATGCAACACTCTCCTTTCAACACACCTTCAACACCCCTGCAACATCCTGAAACATCCATTAATGCAACACTCTGCAATGCCCTGTAACACCTTGCAGTGCCCTGTAACACCCTGCAACACACTTCCAACACAGGCCTCACAAAAACATCAATCAGTGTGGATTCATTCGGAAAATTTAACTACGCCTACTCTACCTGATGACCTGTTATGACACTGTATCTGACGACCTGTTATGATACTTTACCTAACATGTTATGACACTGTACCTGACATGTTATGACACTGTACATGACATGTTATGACACTGTACCTGACATGTTATGACACTGTATCTGGCCTGTTATGACACTGTACCTGACATGTTATGACACTGTACCTGACATGTTATGACACTACCTGACATGACACTGTACCTGACATGTTATGACACTGTACCTGACATGCTATGACACTGTACCTGGCCTGTTATGACACTGTACCTGACATGTTATGACACTGTACATGACCTGTTATGACACTACCTGACATGTTATGACACTGTACCCGACATGTTGACACTGTACATGACCTGTTATGACACTGTACCTGACATGTTACGACACTGTACCTGACATGTTATGACACTGTACCTGACATGTTATGACACTGTACCTGACCTGTTATGACACTGTACCTGACATGTTATGACACTGTACCTGACATGTTATGACACTGTACCTGACATGTTATGACATGTCATCACCTTAGCTAAGGTTAAAGGAGTATTTCTTAATAACCCTCTGAGTTAACTGTGCTTTTCATGTTAATTCATCTTAGCATTTAGTACGTCGTAATCATGTCCCCTCTGATCCTTGCATCGTCTAGTGTCGTCAGGTTTAGTTCCTCTAGTTTCTGTATAGGTCTAATCAGATGTGGTTTCCAAACTGGCGCTGTGTACTCAACGATGGTCCTCACGTACTGTGTATAGGGCCTTGAATGCCTCCGTGCAACACACGTACTGTACGTGCCCAAGTCATCACCCTAACATGTGCATGGCATCGATTTCTCAGTTCAAAGTTGAACGTCGCGTTTGAAGGGATGGAGTACACTGGTGGGTTAATGTGTTCAATACACCAAGTAACACTTTGATCTCACGCACTTGTCTCCTTATTCAGAGAATAATGTTTAATGGTGGGCTTCCTGGGGCTTTACATTGTCGACCTGTTTCCTGGGGCTTTACATTGTCGACCTGTTTCCTGGGGCTTTACATTGTCGACCTGTTTCCTGGGGCTTTACATTGTCGACCTGTTTCCTGGGGCTTTACATTGTCGACCTGTTTCCTGGGGCTTTACATTGTCGACCTGTTTCCTGGGGCTTTACATTGTCGACCTGTTTCCTGGGGCTTTACATTGTCGACCTGTTTCCTGGGGCCTTACATTGTCGACCTGTTTCCTGGGGCCTTACATTGTCGACCTGTTTCCTGGGGCCTTACATTGTCGACCTGTTTCCTGGGGCTTTACATTGTCGACCTGTTTCCTGGGGCTTTACATTGTCGACCCTTGTATTTATGTGGCTTTAAAAACTAGTAGTAGTAGTAGTTGTGATAATTAACCCGCAGAGCACTATAATAACCCAGGATAACTCAGAAAAAATCCGGAAAATTCAGATTCGTTATTTCCAGTCACTGTATATACAAAATAAATACAGTAACCAGACAGCATATAGTATGCACTGCATTTCGACCAAAAAACGTCAGTACTGGGCCTAGATGACAAGCTCTAAAATAATAATATAAATAATATCTTTATCTCTACAAGATAAAGGCGGAGCTGATATCAGTAACATACATAGAAAGCCGCTTGTTATGCTGCGCATTTCGGGCAAATTAGGCCAGTTTTGTCCCAGGACGCAACCCACACCAGTCCACTAACACCCAGGTGCCCATTTTACTGGAATATAGACAACTGCTGTAAGGAAACACTCCTAATTTTTCTACCCTCGCTTGGAATCGAACCCTGACCCCTCGCCGTGTGAAGCGAAAGCTTTAGCCACCAGGCCACGGGGCCTGGACTAAACCTTGGCCTAACAGGTCAAGTTCTAAATAAAGAGTAATTTTAGTGTTGAGGGAAAGTTAACTAAATGCTATACTAGGTAGAGTTCCAGTCATGTTTGATCCTCCGGGAACATTGATGCTGCCTGTGATGATCCCAGGAAGAATGTTGGTACAGTTGAGACTGTTGATGCTGTCTGTGATGATCCCAGGAAGAATGTTGGTACTGTGGAAAATAATGTATTTTCCGAAAAAATCCAGCATATTTTTTATGAAAATTAGTGTAATACATTGTATTTAATAAAAATTAATTTGTAAATGAAAATTGGAACCAGCGACGGGGAGAAGCATTGTTCGAACCAGACTTGCCATTGTTTTTGAATGTGATACAAACATTAATGTGAGGTGTATAATTTTCGTCGCTCTAGGGATTATATTGGGCTTAAAACCTCTCAAATAGGAGCCGAAATTGTTGGATGTGCAGTCCTGCATAACTTGAGCATTAACCAGATGGACAGGACAGCTCCAGGAACCACAGATAAGATGTCTATGTTTATGTTTAGTTCTGGCCAGTAAATTTTTCATAAATGTAGACAGGGAGGTTTTTGAGTATGATACACAGTAATCTCCAGACAAATTGGTGAGTGTTATGATTATAAATTCTCCTTCTGTTATATAAATGTGTATATGTAATCATTTATTAATTTTAATATACAGTCCACAAAATTATAATAATGTTTACCAGAATTCCTGGTGATATATATTTCATTTGCAATTAATATAGGTCTAGAGTAACTTGTGGAGAGATAGATTATGGTAGGTATCGAAGGGGGACGTGTTTTTTGTGACCTAGGTGTCCCAAAATTCCTACTTGTCTATGTAACTTTGATAAATAATAATTTGTTACCATTTACTGGTATGTACCTTATGAGTTACATCCAGGTAAATGTAATTTTCCACAGGTACAGCTGGGACTGTTGATGCCTATGATGATTCAAGAAAGGATGTGGATACGTCCTCCTCAACAGGGTGAGACAGTCTGCAGGATCCATTTGCATGATGGGTCTCACACAAATTATCTATGTTGATGACTCCATCATCTACTGGTACAACTGGTGTTACATAGCGATGACTTCTATATGGGCTTCAACTTTGGAAACTAAACTGTTTGTTATATTACCTGCACTCAGGTGTATCTGTAAACACTGAAAAAAAAAAAAAACGTAATTTTAACTCGTCCTCTGTCATCCACGAGAGAGAGAGAGAGAGAGAGAGAGAGAGAGAGAGAGAGAGAGAGAGAGAGAGAGAGAGAGAGAGAGAGAGAGAGAGAGAGAGAGAGAGAGACAGACAGACAGACAGACAGACAGACAGACAGACAGACAGAGACAGAGACAGAGACAGAGAGAGACAGAGAGAGAGACAGAGAGAGAGAGAGAGAGACAGAGAGAGACAGAGAGAGACAGAGGCAGGATGATGGTATGGGGTACAAAATAAAACTATTAATGAGTATGAATTCAATTAGAAAATATTACAAAATAGTTTTATATAATTATGAGTTATTTACAATAGACAGATTTAGGGTGTTTTTGTAGACTGGTAATACATCATTACTAAGTGTAATATAGTTTGACTCAGGTGACCACTTAAGTACCTCCTGAGGATACCTAATTATATTTAAGGCATAATAGCTTACAATTAATGCATATGAAGATTTAAAATAAAGTAATGAGTAATAAAATTATAAATTATAAAAATCCAGACTGACAGTTGTGACGTCATCAATCCGGATTACCAAGACAGCTTCACGAACGCTGTGAGAGATAATGTTTTAACCTCTATAAAACTTGTTATAATTTCATTAAGAGGAGGAAAATATAATATAACCTGCAGGAAATACATATTTACTAATACATTTGCTAATAACAGTATATTTTAAGATGAGAATATTAGAACTGAAGGAGTGTTGTAGCTACTGGGCCCCTCCTTTATTGTACAGGAAATACTTAACATTATTTAGCTATATAGTAATAATTGATTGTTTATATTTGATTAGCGAAATGCTAATAATTTCCGTTTTTTTAATTGGTAATAGTTGAGAGATGAGTAAATAACAGTAATATTGTTAGTGTTGTTGATGGTATTGAGTGAGAACATCCTCCTCTCTTATCTGACTCACTCTCACTCACTCTACAATAATTATTTACACCTTTATCATCGTGATAGTGTGTTATTACACCCGGTGTAGTGCTGCCTCACTATATTAAGAGGTAGGTGAAGGTGGCAGCACCTTATTACCACCAACACTTATTAACTCTTCTACTGTCGTAGTTTTTGTAACTTTATTTTAATGTAGAAGTGATGGTTGTGACTGCTGGTGAGAGGCTCTTGATCCAAGGAACTGCAATTCCCCTCCAGTTTCCTTAGATTGAAGTTGAATGCGACCCAGCCCCCCCCCCCCAGGCGCTGTGACCCCTGTGAGTTTAGCGCTTTCCCAAAAATTATGAATAGGTAGAATTATAGAATGATAGAGGTGATGGTGTCCTGGTCCTCACAAACAATATATTACAAGAAAAACACTCCAGTTACATCACTTGACTCTTTGACTTTGAGTTTTTTGAGGTGTTATCTTGGGTAATTTACATGTATGTAACTATGGCTCTTGATCTGGGGAACTGGATCTGTGCTCCAATTCCCTGAATTAATCCTGATCCCCCCAGCACTGTATAGTAAGTTTATTCAGGTATACATATATACACTTACATATGTGTAAAAAACCCAGGATAACCCAAAAAGAGTCAGGTTTAGTGCTTCCCTTTATAATAATAATAATAATAATAATACTATGTATGATAATTGTACTTATGTACCTGTACCTAAATAAACTTACATAGTAAACTTAAAGGACCCCAATGGAAATAAGTCACTGTCTGACTTTTTTGGGTTATCCCAGGTTCTCTACACATATGCTGCTATGTATGATAATTCTATGTAACTGTATTTGTGTATACCTGAATAAACTTACTTACTTACTTACATACTTAGTAATTCTTTGGAGGTAACTTGTTTCTGTGCTTTGTGATACTGATCTAGGGAATTGGATCTGTGCTCCAGTTCCCAGAATTAAACCTGAATACCTTCCACGTCCTCCCACAGGTGCTGTATAATCCTACAGGTTTAATGCTCCCCCTTGATTATAATAAGAATAGTGATAATTTTGGGTTTTGTTAATGCTAGATTTTGCTTACTTTGTTTCCTACTGCTCTTCGTGTTTTATTTTGTTAGTAAATTGAATATTCACTTAACTACTTTTCCTGTTATGCTGTCGGTTGACCTTAATTTGTGGGCTATAGTGCCATGATCTCTGTCGTCAAATGTCTTAGCATTATCTGTGTCGACTATATCTGTGTTTTGGTTTTTCTTCAGGTCCTCTATAATTTTGTCATGATGGTCTAGTAGTTGTGACAGTATATGAGAATTGTTTTATGCCCGGGCACCTATAATATTATGGCATATAAATATTGATCAAAATTTCATTGTGCGTGGAGTGTGGTGGACTTTGCAGTTGATTATTTTGTCTTTAAAACTCACATTAACAGCTTCCTTTTCCACCTAGAAAGCAATGGCAAAGAACACCTTTAGCTCAGAATTCCGGAACATCGATGTGGATCAGTACAATGAAGATAACTACAAGGATGATGATGGAGAGCCTCAAAGTCCGCCAATTGGTGTTGACGAAGCTACCATTGTTTCATTAATGAATGCTGGTAAGAATTTTCTTTATTTTAGTGTTCTAATGTGTAGTTTTTAATCTCTCATCTTTTACACATGAAACAAAACTTAATTACACCTGTTTAGTACTCTCATAGGAAGGGAGAGATGGAATGAAGTAAAAAGTGGTTGGTAATGAGAGGGAGGTCAGTGTATCTCTTAACTTACAGACAAGTAGGTAACGAACCATGCAAGGCAACTCATTTCAAGCTTCGGTGGGAGACGGCCGACTTGTTGAAAAAAAAAAAAAAAATTGGACCTGTAATTTCATCAGCCTTCAGCGCTAGAGAAATGCAGCCTCTCCTCACTTAGTGATGTACAGTATTCGTTTAACGACACCTCAAACTTACGACAGGCTCTCTGACCAGTATTTGTACCTAAATAATTTATGTTAGAGCTGATTTCCTCTATTCTGTTTATTTCAATATACAATACACTACTGTATAAACATTTAAAAATATACCAGAAATTTTATAAATGGTGCAAAGGTGACATTAAAACAATATCAGAGATGGTTGACAGAAACCTATTACCATTATGTATAGTATGCTCCTCACTTAGCGACGAATTTGTTTAACGACGTGGTCTTAGGAACGGAACTCTATCATTATATGAGGAGAGCCTGTATTCATTTACTCCATGATAGCTTATTTATTAAGTATGATTACACTACAAATACATACTGTTTGAGAAATTAAATCGACTAACCAAATGAAAGCTCTGGCTCACAGAGAGCTCCTCCTTCACCCAGTACCCTATGTGTATACATAAAAATTATGCTAAATTCTCTGTATACATAAAAATTATGCTAAATTCTCTTGCTGTCTTTCTAGAAGGACAGACATAGCAGTCCGGTGTTAACTGGCTCAGTCATAGCATTTCCATCTCACTTCCAAAGTACATTCCTTGCACTTCCCATCTAAAAAAAGCCTCCATCCAGCTAGCTGGTATTTCTGAAGTTCTTTTCACAATTTGAATTATTCTTTACATATCACCACACCATCTAATTTTTTCATTCCTTATTTTCTGCTTAATATATATGTCACATTGATCTTAAAGACTACATTTCCACAGCCTCCAACCTCCTCACTGTAACATTTAAAGGAAATCCTTCATGCCTGCATGCAACCAGGAATTAAATGCTGTACCTTTTGTATATACTGCTATAAATGACTAGGATGTGTTACCCAATTAAGAACATTAGAACACTACAGCAGGTCTGCAAACTTTCAGGGTGTCACTACCTCCCTTGACCACAATTAGCTGTCACATAGAGTATTCACTCCCATTCCAGCACCCAGACCCCCACCCAAACTGGGTCCCACCTGGACAGGTTCATACCTTGAGTATTCTGCAAGCTACAGTTGTGTCTTATTCAGTAATAATATACATAAATCATTTTAGGGCTTCAGCTAAGGAATGTCTAATTAGTGATATTGCAGAAAATCAAGATTTTTTTTTTTTGTTACTAACATACATTTTAATTTTGATCTAAATTATTGGCACTTCTTATGCCTTGAAAATTAAGTTGTTGTATTTTGTATTACTGTGTGTATTGTATTAGTATTTTTTAAACAAAAACAACAAACTTATGTACCAAAACAAAATAAAAAATGAAGGAACCCAATAGAAATATATCACTGTTTGGCTTTGCAGCTTTATCCTAGGTTAAATCTTCATGCCTTATCTCTGCTGTATACTTGTAATCACCTGTGTAATGAAACCTTGTATGCTATAAAACATCACTATACAAAAAAAAACATTGTACTGTGTAATTTTAACCTGAGTAAAGCTTACTTACTAAGCATTGCATGCTACTGGCCACTAGGCACTCTTCTTTGTACTGAGGTTATTACTAATGACCAAATGATCACTCTGTCACATCACATTTTAGGTTAGATTATTGCAATCGCCAGGGAAAATCACCTGACATTGGTCTTCATTATATAATTACACACTGATAGTTCTGTTTTTGTAGTGAAGCATGCGAACCACTCTGTTATGTGGTTCTCTAGACGGAGGTGATTACCAACACAGATGTGAATATAGTAACCATAAGTGGAAAATAGCAAAGAAACTACTGTACCAGCTTATAGACTAGACTCAGTAGTTTAGGTGAGGTCTGGTCATATCACACAGCTCATGAACTAATATCAGGTCACATCATAGATCTGACATCATTCTCGCTTTCAATGTAGTTTTATAATCCTAATCATAGCACATTTTCATTCACTTCAAAAGGCCAAAACTTAACACCCTTTCAATAGCTTAAGCAGCACACTACATATGATACAGTAACTTTTTTCCATCCATTGACAAACTTATTTCTACAGGTTCTTTAACACTTAATTTCTTTTCCTCATTTATTCTGATTCACTTCATTTTTAATAAATCTGCTTACACATCCTCTCCCAAATGTCAAATTAAATCTACTTCATACTTTCTTGCAACCTCACCTCCATTAAATAAGTACTTAACCCCGATGGGTCATACAGTGCTGCACTCTGATCTCCAATCATTCATTCAGTCATTCCTATTCTCTACTTATTTTCGTAACATTCCTCGTTTCTATATATACTGTATATATCTTTTTGTTTACCATTTTCTTTAATATGTATGCTAAGACAAATTTATGATAAAAATGATAATAAAATACACTTATTTCCAGGTAACCATGCAGATGCTCTCAAACTTTTACTAGCAAATGCTCCAGTGGCATCCAAGGGAAAAAATGAACAAGCCAAGGATATGGCATTGAATTTGGTCTTGAAGGTGAGCTAAGCAGTATTACTAGTTGGTATAAAAAGATGCAATTGCAGGAAGGAACTTCATTAAGATGTTTCACCTGTGGACATGCTTCTTCAGTCATTGACTGAAGCAGCACATCCATGGACAAAAAATATCAAAGTTCATTTCTGCAATTGTCTTTTTCACCACTTGTCACCAGCATTTGCAGTTTATGCATCACTTGTTTTGTCATATTTTTGTATGAACTTGAGTGCTTTCAGTCTTTAATTGTAAGTCATGTGTATCCATTTTTTTTTTTTTTTTTGCATATCTTTGGACTTTTATCATTTTGACTGTATGATACTGTAGAGAACTTGTATGTTTCTCCAGGTACAGACTCTGTACTAGATCCATATACAGTAAATGCCCTATCTAACATTCTATTACGAATGCTGGATAATATGTAACGCTTGTTGTAGTGTAGCCACCTTTGGTTATTTCAATCAAAATAAATGTTGCTTGCCTTGTCTTGAAGAAGAAATGTGATGTGTGGAGCTGACAACAAGTTCCTATGCCTATTCATTTCTGTAGTAAATAATTTTCGTAGCACTAGTGTAAAAATTTAACACATTGGTGTGCAATACTATACCAGATTATGACAATTAAAATCAAAATTGATTAATTGATAACTTTCTTCTGTTTCATTAAATTTCTTTTTAATGGATTTTTTTTCATTGTTTCAATGGATACATTTATTTTTTTTTTTTGGGGGGGGGGGAGGAGCTTTATTGGCTGTTTCTTGGTGTTAGTAGACAAGATGAATGACATATTAGTGGAATGCGAAAGATTTTGGTTAGTTTATGACTGGATGAGGTTTGTAGATGAATGGTTCAGAGAACCGACACCCAAGAGTTGCACATGTGTCTAATTTATCAACGTGCATGAGGTTTGAAATAGGCCTCAAAATGGTGGAAATTGTCATTTTTTTTTTTTTAAATTGGCAATTCAAATTGGCAAAGGGTAAGTTATGGCCATGTGTAGAGGTAACTGGCAAGTTCATATTTCAAAAATTCAAATTCAAGAATTTATTACTTTGCATACTATACAATGTGTAGTTTACATATAATAAAATATTGTTAATCACAAAGAAAGCCACTAGCATGCATGAGTATTTTGGGAAGACTAAAACTAAAACTAAACACAGGTTATACCTGGAGTATACCTGGGAGTTTCAAGGGCCAGTGCCCCCGTGGCTCGGTCTGTGACCAGGCCTCATGGTGAATCAGGGCCTTATCAATGAGGCTGTTACTGTTGGCCTCATGCAACCTGGTGTACGAACCACAGCCAGGCTGGTCAGGTACTGACTTTAGGTGCCTGTCCAGTGCCTGCTTGAAGACAGCCAGGGGCCTATTGGTAATCCCCCTTATGTATGCTGGGAGGCAACCAAACAGTCTTGGAACCCTGACACTTATTGTGGTGTCTCTTATTGTGCTAGTGGCACCCCTGCTTGTCACTGGGGGGATGTTGCACTGTCTGCCTAGTCTTTTGCTTTCATAGGGAGTGATTTTCATGTGCAGGTTTGGTACTAATCCCTCTAGGATTTTCCAAGTGTATATAATTGTGTATCTCTCACGCCTATGTTCTAGGGAGTACAAGTTGAGGAACTTCAAGCGTTCCCAGTAATTGAGGTGTTTTATGACAGTCATGTGTGCTGCGAAGGTTCTCTGTACATTTTCTAGGTCAGCAGTTTCACCTGCCTTGAAAGGTGCTGTTAGTGTGCAGCAATATTCCAGCCTAGATAGAGCAAGTGACCTGAAGAGTGTCATTATGGGCTTGGCATCCCTGTGTTCTGAGGCCCAGTTGAAGATTTGGTTGATGTCCACCTGGAGTCTTGCAGTGTCTTCAATACAAAAAGAAGGGTAGCAAAAATTTTATGATTAATAAAATTTATAGTAGGTGGGTTGCAAACAAAAAAAAATATTACAATTAGTACAATTAACAATAGTACAATTTTAAGTGTGTATTAATACTTAAATTAATTTAGTGTTCTTAAGTTAACTGGGATTTCTTAAATATTCTTAAACTGGTTCTATGATTTCAGGCATAGGAGCAATGCAGGATAATATAAACTCATGTAGACTAGACTGGTTTATTGGCAGTGGGTTCTTTTAGGCAGACAATGAGAAGGGTGAACCCAGGGCCAAGTCTGAGAGGAATGAGGTGTCCAAAGGGTAGCCATCATCAGAGTGAGGCTATGGTCTAGTCACATGGGCTTATTTCAGAGCCAGCCCCTTAGCGAGGCCTATGTGAAACTTTCCTAGGTGGGCATTATGAAATTACGAGTCATAGTAAGCTCTGCTTACCATGACTCCCAATTTTTTTTTCACATTCTGTATGATTAAGTTCTAAATTATTTAGTTTGTAAGTGCCAGGTGCCAGGGTTATTATCATTCCCATGTATTTAGATTTTGCACTTCATCACATTGAACTGCATCTGCCAGTTTTTGGGACCATGACATTAGGATTGTCCAAATATTACTGAAGTTCACTGGTATCCTCCTGTGAATCTATTGTTGGACCTTTAGTGTTTTCCCTCCATTATTACATGTTTGTTTATTTTAAATTTCTTTGTTCTCAGGTCCTGCTGTCTGTGAACAAGTCTCAAATGGATCAGATCATCTCATCACTTGACAAGACACAATTGGATGTTTTAATGAAATATATATATCGTGGGTTTGAAAGGCCTTCAGAAGGTTCCTCGGCCATTCTTCTCATTTGGCATGAAAAAGTATACAATGCTGGAGGTGTGGGGTGCATTGTTAGGGTTCTTACTGACCGGAAAAGAGTCTGAGGAAAACTTGTTTTCTAATATATGTTATTTATATAAGAATGAATATTTTACGTTTTACATATATAGGACAATCTAAATATAGTAAATCGGTCATATATAATCCTTATTTTGAAGATTTTTATATAAATCCTTATTAGTTTTCTTGCATTTACTGTTAATTAAAATTAAAAAAATTCAGAAATAATTTTCCAGGGGATTGCCTTGTGTATTAATTGGCACTTGAAGTTTTAAGAAAACAAATATAGTTTATGTACCAAAGATACCAATTGAGAAAATATGTAGTGGAACATTTCTTTTTCTTTTTGGTTTTTATTTTTTAGAGGGATTGCAAACTGGTACATGTTGAATAAATGGTCTGAAGTTGTCTGCAGAATTCCTTCCCTTAATTTTCCTTTGTATTAATAAAAGGAAAGCATTAAGCATAGGTTAAGAAAATTTATATTATCAATGGAAATCAAGAATTGCAAAACTATTGTGTAGTACTGTTTTATGTTCATCTTGTCTTTCAGACAGAAAAATTATGTTGCACTGTTTATATATATATTTCTTCAAGTAAAAAAATTGATTGTTTAATCTAATATGAATACGTAATACAAATTTAAATACTTTATTTATAAAACTTTAAAATTTATTTTATTCCCAAAACTATTAAAATTTGTACTTTAGGAAGAAAAACAGTGAGGTTTTTGTGGTACACTAAATAATTATTAGATTTGATTTTAAGTGTGCAGAAATGACTTATAGTCATAAAGTAAAAATGGAAATGAAAACTGAAGTATTGTACTAAAAATGATTATGCTATAGTAAAACCGCCATTTGTAGATTTAATGTTTTAACATTATGAATAATAATAATAATACCATTATTTAAGTAATAGCTGACTTCTCCAAGACTTAAATAATGATATTATCTTTGTGCATGTATATATATCAAGATGAACTAATTCTGTTAAAAAGAATCTAGTATTGTAACTAAATTTTCATACATGGCACAATGTTATAAAGTTGTGCTGCTTAATGCTGATTTTAGGGTGCCAGTGGAACTTTATTTATTTTCCCAGTACACTACAGTATTGGAAAATTTGTTATTCATTTTGAAGAAAACCTGAATGTAACATGCAGTGCTGTCCAGCTGCAGATGAATGTTAATAAAACACCATGTATACTAGAAAATGTTTGACATTTCTTGATATAGGGATGTAGACTCCGTACAGGGGCTCAAGAATACATATGCTACATTATGACAGCTATTTAGTGACTGTTGAGAGTTAAAAGGCAAGATAAAGGACTGGAGCTCAACCCCAGGAAATTTTAGTAGAAAATTACAGTAGGTGTCTGCTTTCATCATTATTTGCCATATTTCATATATTGCTACAGTTAGTATTTTTTTTTCAACATACCGGCCATCTCTCGTCAAGAAACTCTTAAGTTTATCTTCTTTTTACATTTAGTAATTTATACAGGAGGAGTTACTAGCCTCTTGCTCCCAAGTTAGTATTATCTTTCAAGAAGACAGTTTCTGTGTGCTTGTAGTTCCTGCAGAGCAAATCTGTGCTGAGCTGTTTTCTGTAGGCCTAAGAAAATTTGCATAGCAGTATGTCTTTCAGATGGATTTCATATGATACATGGTGTTTTGTTAGCATGTAACATTTTAGGACATTGCTTTCATCTCTTTACATATACATAAAGTATATTGATCTCTCTCTGCAAGGTATACATTTAATATAGAAAATACATACTTGTTCAAGTTTCCAGTATGCACTACTATGATTTTTCCATAAGCGCTGAACAAACTGAAGTGTGTTGACACTTGGTCAGGATGTCAGTTAATGTTTTCCTTGAATATTTTTGTTTACTGATTGTATGAACTGTTACCTTTCATAAAATACATTTTATTGTACAACTTCATTTTATTTTTTCCTTGTGGTTCTTTAATATTTAGGATGGTTTAGTGGTTTGCCATTTATAAAATGGTGTATAACTTGGTAAGTGATATACGTACTGTATTTATGTTGACAAGTGTTCTTGGGATAATAAAGTCAGTGACTGGCAACAGATGTAAACTTTTATTTAGACGAATTAAATGTGATTTATCTGTATACACCAAGCGAATTGTTTAGTAAGGTTTGCTTGTCTGTTAAGTAAGTCAGTCAGTTTATTCAGGTATACACAGATACAGTTACATAGATTATCATACATAGCAGCATATGTATAGAGAACCTAGGGTATCTCTGGAAGTTGCAGCACTGTATGACTTTTGTATGTTTAGCACTTAGTTTTGAATAATAATAATAATAATGCTGGAAGTGATTTTATACATGGTCTATTTCATGAAAATATTTGTCTTATGATTAAGCATTATTTTGACTTCATGAAAATTCCTATTATAGCCAGATGTTAGATTAAGTAATAGTTTATTGTAGAAGTGATGGCAGGAGGTGTGGGATTAGGAGAGAAAGATTCTAACACAAAGTGGGAGATGTCACAGTTGCTTTTTTGCAGATGACACTGTGCTTTTGGTAGATTCTGAAGAGAATTTGCAAAGGTTGGTGAATAAGTTTGGAAGGGTATGTAATAAAAGGAAATTAAAAGTGAGCATAGGAGAGAGCAAGGTGATGAGGATAAAAAATTTAGGTAATAAAGGATTAAGTATCAGATTGGAGGGAAGAAGTGAATGTATTCAGATGTATTTGGGAGTGGACTTGTCGGCAGATGGGTCTATGAAAGAACAGGTGAATCATAGAATTGATGAGGGGAAAAAGGTGAGCGGAGCACTGAGGAGTCTGTGGAGATGAAGAATGTTATCCATGGAAGCAAGGAAGGTATGAGTATAGTGATACCAACACTTACATGGGTGTGAAGCATGGGTGGTGAAGTTGCAACAAAGAGAAGGCTGGAGGCAGTGGAGATGTTGCATGTCTGAGGGTATGTGCAGTGTGAATATTATGCAGAGAATCTGTAGTGTGAAGAATAAAAGGAGGTGCGGGGTTTCTAAAAGTATTATCCAGAGGGCAGAAGAGGGATTGTTGAGGTGGTTCATATATTTAGAGAGGCTGAAACAAAACAGAATGACTTGGAGGGTGTATAAATCTGTAGTGGAAGGAAGGTGAGGTATGGGTCATCCTAGGCAAGGTTGGAGGGAGGGGGATAAAGGAGGTTTTGTACACAAATGGCTTGGATTTCCAGCAAGCATGCATGAACGTGTTAGGTAGGAGCAAGTGGAAACGAATGGTTTTTATGACTTGACATGGTGTTGGAGTGTGAGCAGAGTAACATTTATGGAGGGATTCAGGGAAACCAATTAACTGGACTTAAGTCCTGGAAGTGGGAAGTACGGTGCCTGTGTTGTGTTCTGAAGGAGAGATGTTGATATGTTGCAGTTTTTTAACTAGTGTTGTCCTACCTCTGAGAAGACATTGATGGAATGAATGATGTAAGTATTTCGGGTCACCCTGCCTCGGTGGGAAATGGCCACTGTGTCGAAATAAAAATTAAAGTCTAGTTAAAGAAAAAGTTTATTTACAAAAATAGTGTTTAAGCAAATTTTGAAAATTATTTTATTACAGAGATAGTCAGTTCTGTACAAGTTCAAACCTAAGATTCTGAACAAGCTGAAATATACCCTTGGTGTTAATTGCTAATGGTCTTGGGGTTAAAAGCCTCATTGGTTCACAAACTTTGCACTAATATTTTTTTTTTTTTAAAAAGTTGGCCGCCTCCCACCGAGACAGGGTGACTCAAAAAGAAAGAAAATCCCCAAAAAGAAAATACTTTCATCATCATTCAACACTTTCACCTCGCTCATACATAATCACTGCTTTTGCAGAAGTGCCTAGAATACTGATATATGTCCCATTAATATGTGTGTGAATGTAAATCATTGTAAAAAAAAAATAGCAGGTTTTTTTATGAGATACCCAAATATGACAGTAATAAGTCATGCTATTTACTTTTATTGGATCACCTACAAGTAGGTCAAATTAGATAATATAATACATATACAAGTCTGAATAGCAGCATGTCCTTATGATGATTGTAAAAGTATTGAATGCATAACTATGGGGAAGATAAGGGAAGATAAAATTGAAATGTACCAATGAAAAACAGGAATAAATAAAGAGGATGTAAATAGTGAGGTGAGGGGTATCTAAGGCAGGACTTGCAACAGTGGAATCAAGATGGGGAAATTTAGATTTAAAAAGGATATTGGGAAGTACAGTGTTGACAATATAGAGTTGTGGATGGCTGGAATAAATTCCCAGGTATTGTCATTCAGTTTTATCAGCTGAACACAGGTAAGTTAGGACTAGGACTCAGAATCCTGGGTAATAATAATCTTTATTTCTACCTGTTGGGTATTCCGAGGGTCAACACCCCTGTGGCCCTGTCCATGACCAAGCCATGCGGTGGATCAGGCCCTGATCAACCAGGCTGTTACTGCTGGCTGCACACAAACCAATGTATGAACCCCAGCCTGGCTGGTCAGGTACTGACTTTAAGTGTCTGTCCAGCTTCCTGAAGATAGCCAAGGGTCTATTGGTAATCCCACTTATGTATGCTGGGAGGCAGTTGAACAGTCTTGGGCCCCTGACACTTAATGTGTTGTCTCTTAGCATGCTCGTGGTGCTCCTGCTTTTCATTGGGGGGATATTGTACCACCTGTTGAGTGTCTTTTGCTTTTGTAGGAGTGATTTCTGTGTGCAGATTTGGGACTAGTCCCTCTAAGATATTCCAAGTGTATATTATCATGCATCTTTCTCGTCTGCATTCTAAGGAGTACAAGTCGAAGGCCTTCAACTGTTCCCAGTACTACGTGCAGTAAAAGTTCTCCGTATATTTTTCAGGTCTGCAATTTTGCCTGCCTTGAAAGTGGCGATTAGTGTACAGCAATATTCCATCCTAGAGAGAGCAAGCGATTTGAAGAGAATCGTCACTGACTTGGCATCCTTAGTTTTGAAGGTTCTCATTATTCATACTATCATTTTCCTAGCAGATGTGGTAGATACATGCACAGTGTGAGATTCTCTGGCATTATCACTCCCAGATCCTTCACATTAGTTTTTCGCTCTAGTGTGTATTTTGAATTTATTTTATACTCCGATGCAGTTTTTGTTTCTTCGAGTTTCCCATACCGGAGTAATTAAAATTTGTCTTCCTTGTATTTCATATGATTTTCTGCGGCCCATTAAAGAATTGGTTAATGTCCGCTTGGAGATTTGCAGTATCCTTGATGGATGACACTCATGCAAATGCAAATTCTGGTATTTATTATTATTATTATTATTATTATTATTATTATTATTATTATTATTATTATTCTGAATTAGAATTCCGGGCAGCCAATAAATAATTATGGGCTTCGTCCATGCGAGACACAACTGTTGTAAGTCAATCTCTTTAACACAAATATATTTTCCTGTAAAATAAATAAACATTATATATGGAGTGAATTCATTAAAGTTGCGCATGTTAAGGTTCAGTTGAGTGTAGTGAAGCAGCAGCAGCAGCAGCAACAACCTCCCTGGCTCCTTCACTAACAACACCCTCACAACAATGGTTAGTCCTCGATATTATCGTACTATTTCTTGACCATCAGACCTCCCCACGGTGCCACTGCAACATTTTCATTATCTTTATGGTTTGGGAAATGTATGCGAGTTTAGATATGATCGACAAAAGCTAAGTAAAGGGAAGATTACCAGTATTAATGGGTGGTTTGTTTTGTGATGTCTTGAGCTGTTGGAATTATATATTTTTAACGAGTGTTAGTCGAGCTAGCTGCATCTTCCGTAAGTAACATTACTGTATTTAATTTTATCACCATATTATTCATTTTAGTCGCATATCTTGTGGTAAATAGCTACTCCTAAAGAAAAACAACAGGAAAGTGAAGGATTGCAGGCTGTATGGCCCTTTCCGGTTTAGCGCATAATTTATAATAATAGTCCTGCAGTAGACCTACAAATACATATGGCATATAAGTAATTTGAAAGAAAAATCTGCGAGAATCATGTTTATTTGAAACTTTTAGGTCCTGGGACAAAGCTTTCAATAAAATTTTATTGTTTAGTAGGCCTAGTGACACACTAGGCAGGTATAATTCACAGCCTACTACAGTCATCTACCTTGTCAACTTACATTTAGCGGGGTTACCTGAGTTTGTTGACCCCTTGTAGGTTTAGCACTTCTTTTTCATTATAATAGTTTGCTTCACCATTAGTAATATTTCCATATATCCTTATTTAACTACTAGACCACATATAGCATCTTCAAATTGAAATTTTCATATCAACGTAAAGTTCACAATGTGTGATTTACATATAAAATGTTGTGAAGTACAAAGAAAGCCATAACTTGCCTGAACATTTCTGGCAGAGTTATCTTGGGGGGAACCTAAGAACCGTACAAGGAATGGTTCATAAAGAACAAAAAGGTACAATACCACAACTGGTGCAATACACAGGTAACCTGCACGTCGGACAAGGACCCCAGTGGAAATTATTTTGATTTTTTTTGGGTTATCCTATGTAATCTACATGTATGCTGCCATGTATGATAATCTGTGTAACTGTATTTGTGTACCTGTACCTGTACCTGAATTAACTTGCTTACAACGTTTTGGTCTGACTTTGACCATTTGCAAAGTCACACTGACACAAAAGAGTGAGGTTCACTCGTGTCTTAATCAGTGGTCTACTGCAAGACAGTTTGAAATACACATTAATATTTACATAAGTTTGTGGACCTCGCATAAGTGGCGAGTTCATCATTGAAGTAACCCATAGCTCGATTGGTAGTGCATTCAGCTTTCACACCGAGGTCAGTAAGTTGATCCCTGGTACGGTTGGAAACGTTAGGATGTGTTTTCTTAAGGCACCTGTTGTCCATGTTCACCTATCAGTAAATTAGGTGCCTGGTGTAGGTTGCATCCTGGGACAAAATTTATTTAATTTGTCCAAAATGCTCTGCATAAGTGGCTTTGTCAGTGGCGGCTTATGTATAGGCACTGGAACGGCAGCACCCCCTTTTTTCACTTGGTAACGTTCTATAATTTTTTTTCCTCTTCTTTAATTCTTTATACTTGTACATTATATAATCCTTAAGCTTAATGTCAGTAGCCATCCCCTAATACATGAAAAAATTACAAAAAATCCTTGTATGGAACTGTGTGCTTCACAGTTCCAGCGACTGTGTTTGGCTGTTGTGTGTATGCGCACATTTCCAAGATATGACGCTGCACTCTGTGTAGAGAGTTCGCCACTGATGCAGTGCCAACCCTGGCTAAATATTTTCTGAAGCAGCAGCACCATTAATTTTAGCTGCAAGACACCACTGCTTTCTATATAGTAGTACATGTATGTCATTGATGTCAGCTAGGCCTGTATACCTTGTACATGTACTTGTAGAACTAGATTATTATTATTATTATTATTATTATTAGTAGTAGTAGTAGTATTATTACAGCCTCTCCTCACTTAGTGACAACTCACGAAATCGTAATGACACGATTGCAAACTATACCACCAGCAGGATTGAACCCGCGGTCAGAGAGTCTCAAAACTCCAGACTGTCGCGTTAGCCACTGGACCAGCTAGCCACAATAAGATTCGTCCAACTAGGTATATTTCTACACCATAGGAAGGTTAGCTGGTCCAGTGGCTAACGCGACGGTCTGGAGTTTTGAGACTTTCTGACCGCGGGTTCAATCCCGCCAGTGGTATGGTTAGCGACATACTTGTTTACCAATGACTCGGACTTACGATGGGCTCTCTGACCAGTATGTATACCTAAATAATGTACATTAGAGCTGATTCCCACTATTCTGTTTATTGCAATATACAGTACATACTGTAAAAACATTTAAAAATATATTAAAAATGTTATAAATGCTGCAAAGGTGACGCTAAAACAATATCAAAGATGGTTGACACAAACCCACTACCATTACAGTATGCTCCTTGCTTAGCAACGAATTTATTTACTGATGTGGTCTTAGGAACGGAATGCCGTGATTAAGTGAGGAGAGGCTGTATTGCCAACTTGCAGTTAGCTGAAACATTACTTTGATCCAAAGAATTGTAATAACCTTACGGTTCCTTGGATTTATTCTACTTACATCCCCCACCCATTGGCACTGTATTTCCCTTAGGGGTTTAGCACTTTTTATTAAATATGATGATGAAATTGATATAGCCAGGCAAAATGCATGAATCACTGAAATGTTACTCCCTTGTAGAAGAATTTTAATTACCCATTTCACAGTTTAATTTTTTATCGAAAGGTTTTATCTTTCTCATTGATGCAGCAGTTTCTCTTGCATTCCCTTTTTTTTTTTTTTTTCAGGCTAAGTTAAAGTGCAGTGAGTTGCGTACCAAGAAAAAGGATGAGCTACTGAAGCAGTTAGAGGAACTCAAACAAGAACTATCAGGTCTGCGTGTAGCGAAAGTCACTGGTGGAGCTGCCTCAAAACTCTCTAAAATGTTAGTCTAGTCCAGTGTTTTGTTTCCTTGGTGAGGCACAGCATTTGTAGAGTAACAGTTTATCTTACTTTACAAGCTAAAAGCTGTTACCTACCTCAGCTCATTTAATCTATCTTCATTTTCTTTCTCTCATTCTTTCTTCTTATTACCTTGGTTGAAGATGGCTTGTGTGTTTAAAATATTTGTGGAAAAAGATGGAAAACACAAATAAGAAATCATGTATTTTTTTAATTGTTGGTACAAAGATGTAAGCACAGTATGGAACTTTGATATACACACAGTAATGTATTTATTTTTTTAGCCGAGTTGTACGCAAGTCGATTGCACGTGTTATGATTGTCATCAACCAGAAGACTAAAGAAAACCTTAGGAAATTCTATAAGGTTAGTTTTTTGCTTTAGTCAGTCATAACTGATAGTTCATTTAAAGTTGATTACTTTAGTGTGTGAAGTGATGTAGTGGTGGTGTAAAATGGGTTGGGTGTGACCATGAAAGTAGTTTTTCATAGCATTTATGTTGTTTCAATGTGGGCTTGACAATATGCAGTATTTATTTACTTTTAACTTACTGACTTGCTTCTCAGTAATTGGCATTGCATTAATTAAGGTTCATCAAAAAAACCCACTAAACAGAGGAACTTGTGATGATATTTTGATCTCCCCTGAGCCAGTGTCAAGTCACACCTGAGACAAGAAAACTAGAGAATGCCAGCAGACAGTACAGGAAGGAACTGGGGAAGAAGAGAGTGGCAGCAGTAGTGGTGGTCATCGTAGAATTAGCAGGAACAGTGTTGATGCTACCTGTAATACTAATGAGGAAGTAGCAGTATTACCACCAACTACTACTGTACCTCATTGTTGTTACCTCCAATGCTGCTGATTTTATGACAACCACCAATACTACTACTACTACTACCACCACCACTGCTGCATGTATTACTAACATTCCCTTCTGTGGTGTCTTCTGCCCTACTACTTTTTTCACCTCAGTCTTGATATGACCGTGGTCCATAATGGACCAAAACATTGTCAAAGGATTCCTCACCGATTTTTATTTATTTTGGGCAGGGGGGGGGGGGAAGTAAGGGAGAAAGGTTGTGTGGTAGACTTAAATGTATGAAGGAAAGTTACATGGAAAGATCTTATCACAGCAGTGGAGGGAGTGTTCACTGACCCTACTCACTCAGAAAAAGTTAGCCAGTTGCTCCTCTAGATAGTTTACTGTAAGACCAGCATAACTGGCTATTTTTATTGATATAAATAGTTGGTATCATGCAATATGTAAAATTAATGAATGTGCTTTTTTTTTTCTTCTAAGATTTTAATGTCTTACATTTATATATTTTGTTATAATGCTGAAATTTTCCTTGTACTTTGTTCCTAGTTTAGTTTCTTTAATGTACTTCTAGATTACTTCTTGAAAATGTCCTTTAGTGCAATTACTCATTGAACCTGTAGTATCAGACTTTATTGCATATAATGAAAATTTTTTTGAGTGTTACATAAGCTATAATACTGAATGTTACTACAATTTACATATATTTGCATTTTTATTTCTGCTAATTGCATTCATTTCGATAGAACAAGAGATTCAAGCCTCTGGATCTGCGCCCAAAGAAGACTCGCGCAATCAGACGTGCTCTAACCAAGAGGGAGCTTCAGATTCTTACTCCTAAGCAGTCCAAAAGGATGTGGAATTTTCCTAGGAGGAAATATGCTGTCAAGGCTTAAATAAAAGACAACAACATATATTGTATATCTTACCTCTTATTGTAAGTTATAAATTTATATTTGTGGCTTAGAGAAGCTGTTGCAAATAAAAATGAGTATATTGTGTAATTTTCATTTTTGTGAGCTAAACTTGCTCAAACAGGTACTGTAAGTCCTGAAAATTGAGGTAAACCCCAAACACAACTAGATAGAGAAGTAATGACCAGGAGCTAGCACATACTAGCATGCACAATTTTTCTAGGCCTTATGTCCCAGTGTTTCTCCATTTTAGGTGTCAGCTGTGTTTGGGTTACTAGCTACCTTGTGCCCATTAGAAGAAAAATCCAGACTGCTTGGGTATGCATGGAGCATTTTGGGTAATATCACCCAGTGAACAGGCTCAGTGGTTGGCTGACACACTACCTTTTCTTGCAGTGAAATCTGGCTAATATTATTCAATCCAGACACCAGTGACAGAGGGTGATAATGGAGGATCTTTTCCAGTTTTGAAAGGGACAGCAATGGTAGTACAACTAGGAATTTAAGAAGCGCCAGTTTAACCCAAGATATGGCAGTGACGTCCACCGAGAGTCTTGCCACACAAAGTAAGATGCTGACGGCTCGTTACCCCTGAATTGGATAGTGTTGTGGGTGATGGGGTGGAGAGGAATGTACAAGGAGAGCTGAATCAGGTGATAGTGGCATAAAATATTTGCCCATGGAATAAACACTGGTGTACCATTGCACAGTCTGTTCTGTGGTAACATCTAGGGTGATACTGTTGCAGGACAGTGATAGTGACATTTAATTGTTTTCACTGGTATCTGGAAACTGCATGCAGGATCAACACTAGCTGTAACAGCACTAGCTGTGCCAACATAATCACTAGCAACACTACCACCTCTGACAATATCATGATCTGATACCACCAGCAGTGGTACAATGGCAAATACAGTATTATGTACCTGCAGACCAACAGTGTGGAAATGGGAGGAAAATATATCAATTGTGCTTAATATTTGTTTGATACAGATAGTGGAGTTTGGTTGAATTCCACAAACAGATGATTCCACTGAACTTAACTACTATTAATTATTTTTTTAATGCCATGCTGATGAATATTATTGTTTCCCAGACATAACTATTAAAAGTACACGGAGGCCAACTCTGTTGCAACACTAATGCTGATGCCCCACACCCATGAAAATAATATATCTTAAGTAAGAGTACAGATACTTGTAGCAACACTGTAGAACACACCTAATGGAGCATATTAAGAAACTGGAGAAAGTGAAGAAATGTGCAATGAGGCTAGTTCCAGAGCTAAGGAGTATGAGCTATTAAGAAAGGCTAAATTAACTGAATAACAACCCTGGAGGACAGACAGGCCAAGGAGACATGATGACGATTTACAAAATACTCATGAATTGATAGGGCGGACAGAAGCAGGCTGTTGTGAGGTGGGAAATAGGTACTCAGGGTCACAGGCAGGTTTCGTGTTAGAAGGTATTGAGAGTGATCTTCATGTCATCTGGCAGGGTGGTGTAGAGAACATGAGCAATTGCACCCTGGAATGTGGAGATGATAACATCAGTATTTGGCATGGTACAATACGGCCCATGAGGTGAGAGGAATTGGCAGCTGATGTTGGGCAGGGCTCTTATGGAACTAAGGACTGGACTCCTGTCTGACACATGTACCAGCTAATCAAATCATCCCCCCATTGATGCTTTCTCTGTTGACTTATGTGCATCTTGATAAAACAATCCAAGATATTTGCTCTACAAATTACAGGAAGTAATTATGTGCCTGAAATAAATTTAGAGAGTTTTTTTTTTTCCATTCAAGAACATTGGCATAGAGAAGTCTCTGATTTTATTAAAGTGAAGACTTTCCTTTAAACCATATATACCAAGTAAGCAATGTTGGTTTGGTATCAGTTGTTTAGTTGATGTCCTGTGTACAGGAAAGCAAACATTAAAAAATATACGTGATATGTTAGGACTAGTGCAGTTGAATAATAGACATGCAGGACAATGAGAGAAAAGGGAAAATATACTGTCAATCATGAAATCACTGGACTCCAGTGAAGTTCAGGCATTTCATACCACTTACAAGATGACATTTTAATGGCATAACAAGTTATAACATGACGACCATACACAGGCATCAAATGAAGGAAACAGAAGGTTGACTGGCAAGCAGATGAAACCACTTGCAGTCATTGACTACAATGCCAATGTGCATTTGGTAGACAAATCAGACATGCAAATTGGGTCTGTGGAATGCATCAGGAGCTGCAGGTGCCAAATGAATTTTTTACCATCTGTAAATGTTAATGCTAAATGCATACAGTGTCCCAGGTGAAAATGGCACCAAAACCCAGATTGAGTAATTTCCATGTATAATAATAATTCATGTCTGTCATAAGACAGAATAGAAAAATACCAGGTGAAGTGCAGTCAACATGTCGACGCCATGGTAGTGAAAGTTATCCATTTCCGCTGAAGGCTGGTGCACACTTACCTGATACTGTTCTGCTACAGAGGAGGAGACTCAATGTTATGCATCTTTGTACATGAGCAGAAAGCCAAGCAAGTGAACGTATACTTGATACATCTTAAGTTGTGTGGTATTCCATAATGCCTTTAAGCTTTTTTTTTCTTATACTCCTCTCTTCAGTTTTACAGACCAAAGAGCTGTTATTGTACCTTGGCTCATTTCAAAGCCCATCCTAGGTATATTACCATCTCCCTGGCAGGTGAGCCACAACAGTTAATACCCAGGTACCTACTTAACCCTTTGACTGTCGCAACCCCCAATCCTGAGGTGTCTCCTGGTGTCGCAAAATTTAAAAAAAAAAAAATTATTTTTTCTTATGAAAAGATAGAGAATCTTTTCCCGATTGTAATGACACCAAAAAAACGAAATTTGATGGAAAACTGACGGAATTATGCTCTTGCGAAGTTAGCGACCTCGGCGCTGTTTACAAATCGGCGATTTCGCCCACTTTGAGCCCTATTTTCGGCTAATTCCATTGTTCCAGTCGCCCAAACTCATAGCTATTTCTTTAGAACTCCATTTTTTCTATCGATTGAGTACAAGAAACTACCCATTTACCGATTTCAGCTACCTAATAATGTGGTAAGAAATCAGAAATTTGCAATTTGGCCAATTTCACGAAAACTAAAAAATATGACAATTTCAAAATAAGGTCCAGAATGAACAATGCAGACATTCCTGGCTCTAAAATAACATTTTCTTTGTTCATCAGTCATGTCTCCAGGCCCCTCTGATATTACTCTTGCTTTCTATTTCGAATTTTTATTCAAACAAAAAATAGAAGACTTACTATTATGCAGACTACTGCAATACTGTAATAATTGTATAAATAACATCAACCCATCCATGACTGCATATTAGAATGGCTAGTTGGACATTTATTGGACAATGGCATCATTTGTTTACTTTTGAACATTGGCAAAAATCAAATATTTCCCCTACTTTGAGCTCCATTTCTAGGTTCTTTTTATAGTAAAATCAATCAAAATCACCTCTATTTCTATAATATGTTTTCCATTCTATCAAATGAGACCAAGAAAACGAGAATACAACCATAAATACTATACGAAAATAGACCACAAAGTCGGCATTTTAATTAAAAAAAACGGTCGGAGTTTTTTTTTTCTCATTATGCACTGGGTGTTCCAGGATTTTTTTTATATGGTGCACACTGACCACACAGACCCATTCTCTCATATGTGGGCCTACCAGCTTTCTCCTGCTTGATTTGAAGCCGCTAGAATTTATGAGTATATATAAATCAAACACAGTACCTCGTAAGACGTATATATACGGCCGTGACAGTCAAAGGGTTAACTGCTGATGAATAGGGGCAGTAGTTGTAAGGAAATATGCCCAACATTTCTACCCATGCCAGGGATTGAACCATGGACCCTTTGGTATGTGACCCCAAGTACTTTACCAACCGAGCCTATATATAGTGTTGCATAACAGAAACCATCATTAGATATTAGATAAACCATGTTTTTGTACAGATTTATGACCCTCATGGGTTTAGCACTAGTTATGATAATGTACAGATTTAAAGTGAATATTGATAGTATTCTTATGGTGCTTCCTGACCTATTTACAAAATTATTTTTGCTTGAAATCATTTTCATTGCAAAGTATGGTACTTAGTGTTTATCAGTTAATACAGAAAAAAAAAAAAGAAAAACTGTAAACCATAAAATATAACTGGGGCTTTAATGCCAATGTTGCCAACAATGCATCAGTCTCGGCCAACTTCAACACTTCATAAAACAGTATGTTTTTATCAGATTACACTTATTTTATTCTTATTTAATTCAGAAAATTGTACTTTTTTAAGCTTTTTTTTTTTCAAAATTTTGATCCCCCACAGGAATTTATTCTGAGTATGCCACAGTTAAGGGGTTATATACTATTACCTTTGATGAGTTCTGAGTGTGTTCCCAGAGTTTGGTTGTGGGCCAGGCTCGTCTGGTGCTTGCCTGGTCAACCAGGCTGTTTCTGCTGGTGGCCTGCTGCCCTGAACATCCATCACAGCATGCTTGATCTTGCAGCTGGTGAAGATACTTGTCCAGTTTCCTCTTGAAGACTTGTACACTTGTCCCAGCAGTGTTTCTGATATCTTACGGTAAGAGGTTGAATAATCCAGGTACAGTGGTCCCTCGTTTTTCATAATTAATCCGTTCCTGGAGCCGTTACTATAAACAAAATTTACGATTTGCGAATCGATTTTCCCCATAAGAAATAATGTAAATACAATTAATCCGTTCCTGATGCCCAGAAGTATTAAAACAAAAAAAAATTTTACATGTAATATACATGTAGTACATAAACAATACAATGGGAAATGATGAATGAAACATTAACAGCATGGAGATTCTTCTTAGTGTATGGGAGACTGGAGGAGGAGAGAGATTGGATTGTTTACAGTTTGGAAGGGGAATCCCCTTCCAGCAACACCTCAGGTACCAATTGCTTCTCTGG